CTTAGGAGAGTAAAGTGTTTTCAGGAAGGATAGATGGGCCTTTAGAAGAACAGACAGAAGATATGATCACTTGTGACAACTTTATCCAGGTGTGGGGTCAACTCTCGTCCCTTCCTCCGTGCTGAGAGTCAGCCTTTCCTGGCTGGTAAAACTGCTAGAGAGCGGATTTATGACAATCTGGTTCAGTCTTTGGGCCGATAAGGCGAGTTCAGAGAAAGTTTCCCCTGCCTTTGTGGTTTTTCCAAGTGCCTTCAGCTCAAAATAATAAACTAAAGCAGTGTGGTTTGGGGGTGGCAGGTTTTGAAATCTTTCACAGACTAATATACATACCTTGTTACATATATTTTTCCCATCTCCTATTTATGAACTTTCTTCTGGTATTATAGGAAATTTTTTTTTTCTGTGAAGACTTCACTGAATCTAAGTTTCTCCTCTCTGTTGGAGTTGATCTTGTCTTCTTGTTTCCTTTATGCATAATATTTTATTATTCTACTAGAAAGAATTACAGTTGGTTTGAACATATGAATGTCTCAGCTCTCCTGCCCCCAAACACACAGTGGAGTTTGAATTATCAACTACTTGAAGGGAAAAGATGATTCTTATCATAGTTAAAATTAGGATAAAAAAATATAATATAATGACCTGCAATAAATGCATATGAATGCATTTGTAGAGTAAGTGCTATTTTAAAAGTAAGCAACGAAATTTGCCATTTTAATGATTATTCTCTGCCTTATGTTTATCTCCGCATTAAAAGTAAAATTAGAATCTATTTCATTTTGTAAATTCAAAAATATCAAGCATTTACAATAACCACAGACAGAAAAATAAGCCTGCTGTCTGTGTCTTTTGAAACAACTTAAAAAAATTTCCTTTGACAACTCATACTCAAGAGGCTTGCTCCAGGGTCAAACCTAATATTTTTATTTCATTTTTTTAAGACTTTTCAGGTACAAGCACATGCTTTAGTTCCTTTTGCACTACACTGATGTGATACGTCACGAAGGATTATTAGTGATTAGGAGCAATATTAGGTCGACATAAAGTTGATGTTTCACTTCAGAAGAGTGATGTGGCACACCTGAAATATTTGTCTGTCAAAGCTTGTCAGGTGTTCTATTTCAAAAGACAAAATCCCGGGTTTTGTTGTATAGTTTTACATGAACTGAAAATATTATAAGGTAGTTCAAAGCTTCCCTTGATGCCAGGTTTATTAATTTCTCACATAATCTAAATGTGAGAACAAAAAGAACAAAATGTTACTAGAGCTTGATAAAATATCAGGGGGCAAGCAACATAAACCATCTTACAGTCAACACTTAAAAATAAATTCATTGACTTGTCCTTGGTAAGGTTGAACAGTTATGAGAGAGTAATAGACAGAAAACTCATGGAGCTACTGCCCTTCACAATGACTGGATTCTATTGTAAGAAAAAGCATGTGGGAAAAATGTGCTTTTCAGTGTGAGTTTGCATGTGGATCTGTTCCGTATCATGGCCGAACCAGGTCATGATGCAGCTTAATGTGCCTGCATTAAGCTAATCGATCTTTAAGAGCTAAAAGAACCAGAAAAAATTTTTCTTGACTTAACCAAAATGATTTGCAGTTAAGATGGAAAGTCTGAAGTCAGAGCAAATGAGGCATCAGCAAGAAGGACACATAGTGAGACCAGGGGATGATCATGGAGTGAAGGTGGAGATCACAACCCAATCTCTCTATCTTTCTGTAAGACACACACACACACACACACACACACACAAAATACATCAAAACTCATTAAAGAAGAGGAAGGAAATTTAGAATGAGGCAGTGTCAGAAAACTGTTTATTTTATAAATGTGACCACATGATAAGGTTTAAATATGAAGTAAACCAAATGAAGTCCCATGGCTTAAAAAAAATTAATTTGCAAGTAACTTGGTCAGCGAGGAAGCTAATGAAAGTGTTTTCAAATATCACACATAAACACAACCACAACAGAAGAAATTAACAATAATAAAAGGAATCTGCAATATCGCCCCCTAACTAGGGAGAATAGTTGAAAAGAGCTATATTATGCTAAAATAACAGACAACCCCCAAAATTTTGCTACTGGGAAGTAGCGAAAATTTAATGATCACTTAATCTGTATGTCTATTTTACAATAGCAAATGAGGCTCCATCTCAATATATAATTCCATAATTTCAGAAAAAGGTAGAAGAAAATGTGGTAAAACACTCACTATTTCTTAAATCCTTGTCTGTAAATAACATAAGTCATTGCCACTGGCATTCAGTTAGATAAAGCATGTTGTAGCCATGCGTAAGTTCATCAGGGAAGCACTATAAAGTACTCCTACATGGACTGGGGCTGCAGAGACGGTGAGGAGGGTGGGTGAACACTAACATATTTTCTCCAGCCTGCTGCAGGTGGACCAAAATGATGAGCACATGTCATCAGGCTTAGGGACGCAGAAACCAAAATGAGTTGTAAAACTTAAAAATAACCGAATACATTATGTAATCTAAATAAGGCCACTTTCATTTATCCTTATTTTTGTCAATAATCAAAGTATTAACTATGTTTATTATTATTAAGTGGCATTCTCTGTCACCTGTACTAAGGGGAAAAAGTAAACCTCGTTTTGAATATAACAACAACACAAATCCATATTCCCAGCCACAATCTTTGAAGTTTATGGTCGTACAGTGAAGACTGGGGGAATGAAGGAGAATATAGGTACTTACCTAGGACCCTTAAGACTGAGTAGAATAAGGAATAACATGAAGTTGAGGTCACAGTAAAAACAGACCTTCTAGTAGGTGATAAGTAGAATTGTCATATGACCACCAAGATTGCCACTTGCTGGTGTGAATATGCCTTTCATAATTCATTCAAGTGTAGGTAGAATCTGTGACTACGATGGATGTAACTCCAATGACTGGATTATGTTATATGGCAAAGGTAAAGGAATTTTTGCCTATGTTATTAAAAATTCTAATATGTTGATTTTGATTTAAGTAAAGGAAAGTTATCCTGAGTGAATTTTACCTGGTCGGTTGAGTCCTTTAAAGATACTGAAAGCAGGAAAGAGTTTTGGGCCATAGAAAATTTTTTAAAATATTAGTATTTCCTTGACCACAATGAGAAAATCCAGGCATGAGGATGATTTAAGGAAAGAACGTTCAGTGTCTCTCCGGGCACTTATTTTAACACTTGTATCACTAGAAGAAGTGACTAGCAGATGTGATATTGTAAAAGATACCTCATTTCACTACATAAGAGACAATACGGGAATACTTCAGGAAGAAAAAGGACATGTGCCTCAGGGTAAACGTTAAAAGCAAACAGTTATATAGCACTTATAATATACCAAACACAGTTCCAAAAACTACATATGTTAATTCATTAATGATCATGTGTTGAGAGAAATACTAATGATAGCATTAGACTTATTGAGAGCATATTGAACAATAAACTAATTTGAAGTGGTAAGTTTTTCTTGGGTACCTTTGATCAGACTGTGAAAACTCCTTTTCATTCTTGGAGAAAAATTTTTATCATAAATGGGTGTTAGAGTTTTGTCAAATGCATTTTTTGTGTCTTTTAAAGTAATCATGTTATTTCTCCTTTATAGTATTAATGTGGAAAATTACATTAATTAATTTTGAATATTGAACTAACTTTGCACCCCCAGGATAAGCCCTATGTGCTCTGGCATACGTACAATTTTTTAAAAAATAATTTTTAGGGGAGGGGTAATTAGGTTTATTGATTTACTTTTTTTTTTTAAGTGGACGTAATGGGGATTGAACCCAAGACCTTGTGCAAGCTAAGCAAGCAGTCTACCACTGAGCTATCCCCTCCCCCTAAAAATAAGTTTTTGAATTTGCTTTATACCTGTCATCTTCCGAATCTCTGTGTGTAGGGTTTAGGAGGCTTATCCCTCCAGTTTTCTTTTACTGTAACGCTATTGTCAGTGTTGTCACCAGCTACAGTATGTGTAAGCCTCAAAAGCAGGTTGCAAAGGTCCTCTTCTTTCTTTTCTAAAAACAGTTGGATAATATTTTTTATCTTTTCTTGCTCGTAGATTTTATAGAGGTGGGACAATTCAGTATAGGTGACAGATATTCTAAGAGTTGAGTGAACTAACTAAATTTATAACTAAACTTTAGCAAATAAAGCTTGATAACCAAAGCATGCTCAAGATGTTTAACATTTAAAAATCTTAAAACTCAAAGATGTTTTAAAGGTTCAGTGCTTTGTTTTAAAGAGCATTGTCTTGAAAAATATATATTTAATAGACATTTTCACTTTTTAACAGGGACGCTAAAATCAACTTTTGATAAAAAGCATTTTGTTTTCCATTATTTTTTATTTGCTTATAGATTTTAATGTGGCATTAATTCAATACCTTCTTGATATACAACATAGTGAAAGATTTTACCTACCACATTCATGTTATTTCTGAATGCATTACATATGCTTACACAGCCAGATATGTGTACACACACACACAAATTGTGTATCCACAGAGTGCCTTCAATGAGGAACGCTGATAACCTTTAACATCTATCCTGATATTAGAAAATTTTAAGAGGCAAGGGAAATGTGGAGACAGTAATTAAGGTATAAATGTTTCCTTATACTTGAGAAAGAAATTAAGCATCTATAAAATATAGAAAATCTTAAAATGTAGAGAGCTTTTAATATAAATTAGATAACTTTAAAAATATCGATATATAATTTTCTCATTAATTATTCATTATCAAAGAAAACAGATACAAAAAGACTATTTTGAAGAGATGAATTTTACTTGGAGTATGTGTTATTTTAATCAATATGTATTAACGATTGCATAAAAGCTAATGGTATATACAATGCATGTCCTTAGGAAAAGAAATCATATAATAACATATAAGTTCATTATTTTTCTGATGCTATATTTTGATAGACAATATTTGTTTACATTTACATCAAATAGTTTATATATAATTGCATCTTTATATATAACAATGCATCATGTATTGTGCTTATTCAAAATACAAAAACAATTGATATTTTTTCAAAATCTCCAAAAGGGAACATTATTTAAATGTTGTTAAAAAGAAATGATTTTCTGGCATTTTTCATTTTAAACATTGTATAAAGAATGTTTTGCAATCTGCCTCTTAATTCTCCGTCAATTATATTTTAAGTCATGTAATGACAACAGTTGTTGATAAACAAGGAAACATAGCTTCAATTCAAATACCATCTAAACCAACAGAGCACCACCTGCTAAATAAAACAAAGGCAAAGTGGAAAGTTTCCTGACTCAGATTTCTTAGCTTTTGAGGTTATATGTATTAATTTAATTATAGTTTAATTCCATCTGTCTATCTGCATTAGGTTATTTTTTCCAAGTTCATCACCTGTTTCCTACATATTGTTGATTGTTAATATTTTCCAGAAACACAAACTGAAACATCTGCAAATTTTCGAATTACCAAGTACTAGTAATGCTTTTAATTTCTACTTGCCTGACCTGTATAGTTGGACAAATGATTCTCAAATTCAGAGGCCTCTCTGATGATTAAAAGAGATCACGTATCGAATTAGGTGAGGGGCACTTCAGTGTGGATACTACACCGTGGAAGAGGCTGGCTCAGTATCTCAGGTGCTCACACAAGTGAGATGATCCAGCACACAGATGATTTTTACCTGTGCTCTGCAGTCAAGGACTTTTGAGGGCTCTCCACATTATGTCATCTAGAAAAGTATACATATGTTATGCAAAAATATAGTGCCTACTTGTATTAAAGAGTCTGCCTCAATTTTTAAAAGATGACTGCTGACAGCTTTTAAGATTCACTATTTCCCCTTCTCCACCTGCTCCACATTTGGGCAAGCTGACAAGAAATTCCAGGTGTTGCTTCCTTTATTCCTTGCACATGGGAACCCTCATCCTTACCCTCGGCCCTAAGAACCAGAAATCCAGGTAATCTCCTTTCCCTGCATGCTCAGTCCACTGCTGGATCTACTTGGGATTTGCTCTGGGCTCCCCAGAAAGACTCTACGTCATTGACAACTCTTCCTACCGCCTTGATGTGTATGTGTGGCATCATCAGTCTCAATAGGTAAGCCAAATTTGGGGTGGAAGACCACCCTTTATCTGCAGATGGCTGCAACACTACTTCATTACGTCTTTTCCTGCCTTTACCATGAAATGAATAATTAATAAAGAAATAAAATCTCATTTCATTTTTCACAGATAGACATTTTAAGGGAAAAACAGTCAAACATCACAATTATTATTTTTAATGTAAGTACAACTTTACTTAAGGCAATATATATATATATACACATAGCTTTACTCATTAGAGCTTCTGAATCAAAAGTCACATTATTATTCCAAGTCTCATTTTTAAGATGAGGGAATTGGCTATAAATAACTGAACTACTTTTACAAGGTTGACTTTCCGTAATTCTATTAAATGTATGTTAATAAATGTCATAATGCCTGTCCTATTAAAGAAGTCTTTGTATAGAGTCTTTAATGATTAATTTAAAAAAACCCCACTTATTCATGATTTAGGTAATACATTGTTAAGTCACAATATCCTTTACATTTTTTTTATTCAAAGGCTTAATTAAGAAATAAAGATAATTAAATAATTCTTAGATTTGGATTCACTTATATATTCTATTATAAATATGTAGCGTGAACTTTATTTGGATTTTTTAAACATTGTCATAACAGACAATACAGGGCAGGTGCCTCTAGAGGTCATGTGTAGGTTTCTGGCATAGAACTCTAGCTGACTTCCCAGCTAAGCCAGGTCATCAACTTCCTGGCACATGCACACTTGAATGCATCTGAATCCTGCATCCAGCCATGCTTTGTTCACCCCCTAGCTGATGCTACCCAGTGCATAGGGAGTTGCCCCCACCAGCCCTGTTGAAAATGTGTGAGCAAAGAAACTACTGCTTTTGGAAATTAATTATGTTTCTCCTTGGATATATGGTGAGTTTCAAACCTGCACCCATATAGATTTACTTATCTATTAAATATTAATATATATTCATTTAAGGTAATATGTCTTGGGTCTGAGGTCACATAGGTGAGTAAGTTGAGTATGGGTTTGTTCACCGAAATATCTTCACATCACACATACTACACACACTAATCAATACCATCATTAATACAAACACTAAACAACACATATACATACTCAAGCATTCATGGAACAAAACAGACAAACAAATGTTAGCTGATGTTAGCTGAATAACTGGCTAATAAAGAGACTGTTACTGAAAATTGATTTATTATCTGATTCAAGTTGCAATACAGTAATTTCCAGGTTTCAGTTCTATTATTCTCTTTTACAATATTTTTCTTTTCACTGTTTGTCATTTCTTTTCATTTTCTATTTTTAAAAGACATAGCAAATTCCTTAATCCCTGTTTTAGCTTTCATTTAGAATTACTTTGCATTAATTTTTTTGACTTCTATGTCCAAGTTACTGACCTGGTCATGGTTAGACAATCTGTCTTAAAACCTCATTGTTACTAGCTGCAAGTCCCTAAGTAGTCTTAAAAATTCTACAGTGTGGTTTGCTGAAAACTTATCACAACAATTTGCCTTCTGTATAAAAGCCAACAGAAGCTTTATGGGAACATGACGAAATATGATGTATTTTCCTTTGAAGAATCAGGGACACAGCTCTCAACTATACACAGATTTGTGTAGTTGGTTTCTGTTGAAAAGCAAATGCTGTTATTTTTGCTATAGTTATTTCTTTACTAAATTGCTAATATCACATAAATTACTGTATTCATTTTCTGACATCTTACATGATGAGTTTAAAAGTATTACATACACAGTAATTCATTTTTCAAATTAACTTGGCAAAAGTGAAAAT